GAATTATCAGTAAATACTTCATGATTCTCAGTGTTTCCAAGGGATTGTCCATAAAGACAGGTTCGGTGCTATGTATTTATAAAAACCTTAGAAAGAAGACGCTTTTGGAGAGCATTTGTCGAATTAGGGGATGTTGGGTGATCTTCTTCATGTAGTTAGTCGTTTAGATTACGTCTGAAATTTCACTAAAACACGAGACCGTGCTGTCTTAAAAAATGAACGTCCACAGTAGAAACTGTTACTAATAAGTCACTTATTTATGAAATGTCTAAATGCTGTATTCCGTTAATGGAAGTTCACTTACTCAACTTTTTAAAATTCTAAAACAATATCTGCACCGTGAAAGAGAGGATCGCTTGTGGGCATGATGACTGCACGTTAGAGCACGAAATCACACAGACTTGCAAATCTGAAAACTTTTATTTTTGTGACGTCCCTATCAGATAAATCTAGCGAAATCCTCATTGCCTTAGTCAACCCCAACTCAATGAAGATTCGGAAGAACTATGGCAGAAAAGATTTGAGATCTGGATATCAGTATTTTCTCGGACACCACGAACTCGGGCTTGTAAACAAGGTAAAAGACCTAGGTGTGTGGATGACATCCAGGATCAGGAGATCCTTCCTTAACTTCGACGAAGGGCTTTTCGGTCGACTGTTGGGAACATTTAGCCGGCTGATTTTAGAATGCAGCATTCAGGAATGGCGTCCCTGAATGAAGCAAGATTATACTCTCTTGGGGAGAGTGCAATGAAGGACGACCAAACTAGCCTGTGGGCTGAAGAGCCTACCTATAAGGGCGCAAACTTTTTCTTCTCTCTTACAGGCAGTACAGCGGGCACATGACGATGGTCTTCAACTTGAATTACGCCCTAACTTCTTCTCTAACCGGATAATTGAAGATTGGAACAAACCACCTAATTCGTTTGTTCTATCGGAAAGCGTTTCGACATATGAACGAAAATTTGATGACATCTTATAAGGTGGCCATGTATTTGCTTGGTAAGAAATGATAAAATATACCCGTGTGCACGTTTTTCAGTCTATATGTAAATACGGTTTTTGAAGGCCCTGCCTATCTCCCTTACATATACTGAATTAAATTCCTGCGAAACCGTTCCAGCATCGATATTCAAGTTGTAGGGCTGTCGCCGCTGCCTCGGGGATTCTCGGGGGGTGAGGACTGGATGCAGCTAACACCAGCGCCTGCCCCCTTCCCGCGCAACCCACATAAGGGGCCTGTCACCCAATGTCAGTTCAGTACTGTGCAGCTCGGCTTGAGGAGGCCCGGTTGCGGTCACGACTGCCGCGTTCTGCAGCTTCGGGCCTGCTTCGTTCACAACAGGATGAACACAGCCAGCTGGAAGTGGCCGAATGGCGCCAGCGAGGAACAGCAGACCAGCGTCAAACACGACTCCGTGCACAGCATTCACGCAGCCTGATGCTGTTGTAAACGACGGTACGACAACAACCTTTGGAAGACTAATGATTTTAGGGCAAGGTGATACCGGCAGTCGGAGACCGATTCCAACGCAACATCCATTTACTTATCGGGATGGTGCCGACGGATATCACTTCAACGTTCAGATGATAAATCCGGTCAGTGACGAGATAACGCACATGAAATGCAGCACAATGAACCACTACTCCTACCGACTTATTACACGACAGAATGTAAGCAATCTCCTTTTGAAATGCCGTCAATTGCTTCATCACTGCATTGTGGATATGTATGCAAAAATCGAAACTGAACGTTTGCTTTTCATTCGCTTGAGTCAGACCAAGCTGCGCTCTGAAGGATACATTCCTTTGCATGATGCAGTTGTAAACGACGGTAATACAGATAACGTTGTAAGACTAACGCTTTTGTCGTCCACATACACAGAGAGTCCGCGCCATATGGTTGGGTACGCTCGAGGTGCAATTGCTTATGTTTGTCAGTACGGGGCGTCCAGACCTACTCATTACATTCACATGTAATCCAGCTTGGGGGATGTTTATCAGCTCTTACCTCCTGGGCTATTGACGGTAAATAGGTATGACATCACAGCACGTGTTTTCAGAAAGAAACTGCAATCGCTGATGAACTTCATGGTGAAACACGAGGTGGTTGGGTCTGTGCGCTGCTGGATGTATTAGGTGGAATGGCAAAAGAGGGGACTGCCCCACGCACATGTCTGGATCTGGCTCTATAACAAGATCGCTTCCAATGAAATTGACGATGCAATATACGCTGAATTACCTGGCGCTGACGTCGACAATGATTTGCATGAAGTTGTGGCGAAGAATATGATACATGGACCTTGGATGCACTGAATCCCAATTCTCCAACCCCCCCCTCCCCCGGCATGATAGACGAAAGTCCCTTATACCGAAAATGATCTGCGGAAGACATCGGCAAATTGGCAACCGTACGAATGTGGATCGGTAACATAGAAGTCGGTAACCGCTGGGTTGTTTCGTATTCGTCTTTGCTTTTAAAAGCAAACGCAGCTCACATAAACGTGGAACACTACAATTTTGGGAAATAAATTTGATACATTCGTAAGTACGTGAGCAAAGGCAGCATCATGGGTGATTTTGGCCTGCAACACGAAAGGAGGGAAAGGGTTGTGGACATACAACTGGATGAAATCACACAGTATTGGGCTGGAAGATACTTTAACAGCCACAAAGCCGTGTGGTGGATTCTTTCTTTTCCCCTCCATGAGCAAGTCCAGGTGTTGTTCACTTGCAGTACACTTGGTGAATGGGCAATGCGTTTACTTTTTCGATGCAAATGTGCAACTGGCCACCGGCAACACACATTAACTGCGTTCTCCCGTTGAGCCAGACTGACGCGTTTGCGAAAACACTGCTGTATCCGGAAGTGCCTACGTATTACACAGGTAATGCCTGCAGAAAATCTTTTTTCTACACAACCGAGAGCGAGTCGACGGACACCTTGGCATATTCAAAAGAACTGCGATCGGCAGACTGCACAGCGTGCATCCCAATCAGGACGAATGCTTCTTACTCCGCATGGTGTTGGTGAATGTGTCCGCTCCAACGTCTTTCCCGCAATTGAAATCTGTCAACGGTGTTACGCACGCCACTTTCCGTAGTGCATGCCAAACGCTCAATTTATTGGTAAACTACCGATACTGGGATGTATGCATTAGTGGTGCGTGCAACACGTCCCATCCACATCGAATTCGTTCGTTGTTTGCAATCTTACTGACCGCCTGCTCTACATCATCTCCAACAGATTTATGGGAGGGTATCTTCCGTCGACTACGCATGGAAAATTCCAAACGCGGATTTCAGAGCAGGAATCTACCACGAGGCGTTAATAGTGATTGGGGAGATGTACGTAATATGTCGCGAAAAAAGTTCTTTATCAACCGGGAATGTCCTCATCAAACCGATCTTCTGCTGTTCCCTGAGCAAAAAAGCGCTCGAGGCATTCGATCGAACACTGCAAGATGTGCGCGGAAACAACAGACCATTTGGAGACATAACTGCTACTGCTTGCAGGAGACTTCAGGCAAACAGTGCCTGTAATTCCTCCATCGGCAACAGGAGACGAAATAAATGCCTGCCCGAAATACTTTTCATTGTGGCGCCAAATCCAGACGGCAAAATTAACTACAAATATGCGTGTCCAGCTGCAAAACTACCGATCAGATGTGGCATTCTCACAGTAATTGCTGGCAATTGGGAATGCTACGGTGCCCGGTGATCCGACTACAAGAAGGATTTCCCTACGTCATAGCCTCGGCAATTTAGTGTCCACAAAAGAGGAATTGGTTGAAAAGGTGTCTTCCACTATTCAGACCACTTTCAACAATCACGACCGATTGAGCGAACGAGCTATTCTTGCGGCCAAAAACAAACGCGTGTACGATCTTAACCATATTATTCAGTCTAAGATTCAAAGCGGGGCAGTCACATATACGTCCATCGACACTGCTGTGGAAGCAGACGAGGAAGGTTGATTTTTCAACCGAGATTTTGAATCCACCTGAGCCACAGCAACGCGTGGCCGGGCCCAGCTAGTGTAAGATACAAACTGTCCACCCCCTTGCGTGAAACCAGGTTGTGCCCTGGAAGGGGGGCGGGTTTCGTGCGTGGCATGTTTAGATGGGTTGCTTAGCTCTGCCAATAAAAGCAAAGCGACGAGCCCCAGGAAGCAATCTTGAAGAAGGAGACACGATCGCTGGGACAAGAGCTTTATTAGCCTGATGTTTCGGATTCCTGCCCGAACCCATCGTCAGAGACAAAAGCAGATACGGGTGGTTCATGCACAAGCGGCTGCAGTATTTATAGGATGCAGTCGCCATGCTACCGCACACCTATGAACATTCACGGCTCCCTCCTTCATCCGGGATTGTCGCACTTGGTGTTCTGACTGTGTGATGGCGACCATTCGCGTTGTTAATTGCTGCAATTTCATCACGTGCGTTGGATGTTGGTGTGATAATTACTCGACCATCTGATCCACCCACCCTGGCGTTGGGAAAAGTGTTCACTTGTGCGCTCCCCGCGTAGCTAAATACTCCGCCTAGGTAGTCTCAGCACCGAGTATGAAAGGTGAAGGTCATTGCACTTGTTAATGGACTGGGGCCAGTAAATCATGACTCAAGCAGTTCCCGGCTAACGCGGTTGTCACCTCTTGCGAGAATTTCAGCCTAGTCGAATTTGAATGCGTGGCCGGATCTCGTCGAATGAGCCGAAACTTGAGAGCTGGCATCATTTCTCCGCACCGCTGCAGCGTGTTCGGCCATCCTCGTCCATTGTCGGCCAATCAAACGTCGCCCAGTAACGACAAACTGGTGCACAACCTGTCGTCAAAGGAGCTGACGAAGGATCAGACGCAGGTTTTGCGGCACGAATTTGCATTTAACACAGCTGACGCCAGACCTGCCAACATGATTGCAGCAGTGGAATCGGCCATTAATCAGACCGAAGCGGCAGAGGAAACGAAGAACCTTATCTGACACCAAGTTTCGTCCCACCTTATGACTCACAAGCCAAGCGAAATACTCCCAAAGGTCGAACGCGATGCGCTAACAGAACTCAAGACCGACAAGAACATCGTCATCGTGCCCGCGGACAAGAGGCGTTCCACCGTCGTACTGGACAGAACAGACTACCTCCAGAAGGCCAAAAACCTACTGGAGGATCGCCAGTTTTATGTCCCATATGAAACCAACTCCGTAAAAACGCTGACACGCGAAATTAATACGACACTGTTGGCATTGGAGAACCCGGGTGCAATAACACCGACCGACCGACGCACGGCGAGAGCCCAAGAGACGGCCTTGGCCAGATTCTCTGGTCTCCCCAAGGTGCAAAAGGAGGTCGCTCCTCTCCGGCCCATTGTATCGCTCAAAGGCACTCCAACGTACGGACTGGCTAAGTGGCTGTTCTGGCGTCTCAAGTTCATGACCGATGAGTCAGACACCACGGTCTCTTCGTCAGCACAATTCCTGGAGACACTCAAAGGGGTAAGCATCCATCCAAATGAGGTCATGGTATCTTTTTATTTCACGTCCCTCTTTACTTCTATCCCTCAGGATCTGGCAATCGAGACCGTCGAGCTACTCTTACGAAGCAAATGCAATGAAACGGAGAATCGTCTCAGACATGCCCAAGTCCTTCAGCTCCTAAAGTTCTGTCTCAGGATGTACTTCACGTTTGACGGAGCTATCTACGTGCAGGTGAAGGGAACACCAATGGGGTCGCCGATTTCGGGATTCATCGCCGAGGCGGTCCTACAGCGGTTAGAGTCGCTGGTCTTCCAACACCACAGACCGAAATTCTGGACTCGGTATGTGGACGATACCTTCGTCGTAATCGAACGGGGTTAGGTGCTAACGTTCAAAGAACGTCTCAACAGCGTCTTCCCGGATATACCATTTACGATGGAGGAGGAAAAAAATAACCAGCTGTCATTCATTGATGTCCTCGTCTGTCGCAAAGATTGTGGTGGCCTAAAGACCAGTGTGTTCAGAAAAGCGACGAACACGACGCAAATACTGAACTTCAACAGCAACCACCCAATCAGCCACAAACGCAGTTGCGTAAGAACGCTATATCGGCGTGTTAGAACGCACTGCAGTGAACCGGAAGACAAGGTTGTCGAATCCAAATATCTTCGACGGGTTTTCAGAGAAAATGGTTACCCGCGCAACTTCGTCAACCGGTGCATGCGAAACGAGACGAGCGACAAAATCGCGCCGACCCCAAATTCTGGCGAGCGATCCCGTACATCAAGAACGTCTCCGAGGCCGTTAGTCGCCTTCTTGCACCACTTGGGGTTGGAGTTGCACACAGACCGGAAGCCACCATGAGGCATCAGGTGATGAGACCAAAAGACCCACTTCCACGGCGAGAAACATCTGGAGTCGTTTACCGGATATGGTGCAGTTGCGGACAAAGCAACTACGTCGGAGAAACTGGAATACTGCTCCGGACCCGAATTGCCGAACACGTGGCGGTACGGAGAGATGACGCCAACTCTCAGGTCGCGGCCCATTCGAAGAGACCCGGTCACACATTCAAGTCCGATGAGGCCGAAATTCTCGCGAGAGGGGATAATCGTGTGAGCCGCGAGTTGTTTGAGTCATGGTTCACGGGACCTCAGTCTAGCAACAAGTGTAACGACATCCCCACTCCATATTCGTGCTGAGGCATGGCTGGCCAAAATAATTGACCACTCGGGGAGCACGCAAGCCGGTGAACCAGATGGCCGAGCAATCATCACGTCAGCTTCCAACACGGGTGATGACATTTCGGCAATTAACAACTTGCACGCCGGCCATCAATCAATTAGCGCACCAGCGGGCAACAATTATTGATGAACGGAAGCGCGGTTAATTACAATAGGTATGCGGTAGCATAGCGACTGCGTTCTATAAATAGTGCAACTTCCTGCGCACGAGTCAGCCTTTTCTGCACCTGTCTTTGATGATGGGCTCAAGTGAGAATCCGAAACATCGGGTGAATAAAGCCCTTGTTCCAGCGATCGCTTCTTCTTCTGATCAACAAGTTCCTGGAACTCGCATCTTCCCTTGTATCGAACGTTTACCTATTCATTAGAGACCCGGTCTCAAGGTCATCTGGCGTGTTCAGGCCTCACTCTATTTTGTTTTACTTCCGGCAAGCAACTGCTCTCTGTCCATGATGAATACTCACAAACAAAATGGCGAATAGGGGGTGAACGCTGACCTGCGCCTGTCGCATCAGTTTATTAGTCTACCTCTTCGAGTTGGTATCAAGCAATCCGTCCAAAAATTAGGGAAAGTTCACTCTTTCAAGTTCTTCCCGCAGTTTTGAACAAGGACAATGATCCATAGTAAGTTCGAATAACTGGCGAATGCACATCTCCTTGTGATGGGTCCATTGAAGTACTGTTCAGGTCTTTCAAAGTACGCCCATTAATTAAGTGTCCGTTTAGAAATGTCGTAGACAGTCGAAATGAGTGTTCTACGGTCTCGCTCATTGCGAATACCACCAGATTTAACGAGTTCTCCTTGCGTGTCAGACCAGTGGTAATTCCGCACAGTCACCGATCATTCCATAACCACAAACACTGTCAATGCATTGCTTGTCAAATTATCATGCGATGTACATGAAATGAAAACCAGAATGTCGCTTTTTACAAAAACTGCTGAGAAGACCCAGACGCTTCGGTAACAACGTCAGTAATCGAGGGACTCCCTAATGTACCTCAAAAAAACCGGCAAGACGCACGAGAAAATTATTCCGAGGCCTTATATAAGTACAGTATACCAGTGTCGCTGATGAAGCTTACATCCTGACTGATGAAGGCAGCGCCTCTACGAAACTAAGAGAGGTTTTCCGCCCGTTTCCCCTTTTATAATTTATTTAACTGTTCACTAATTGGAATAATGTCTCCACTGTAATATTTGAAATACCCTCGTTTTTGGAGGCAGAATAGGCGCTAACAAAAGGAGGTACTGTTACGATTTAATGCGCCTGGGGCTGGCCGACACCGTTAGATCGATCTTACTGTCCTTAACGATTGCCCGTAACCGGACAAATCTCGGGCGTACGCATGCGCCTTACGTCGCGGTTGACAGCATCAACGGTTGTCGCTTGCGCTCTCTTTCTGTCAGTAAAACTCGCTCCGGCAACTCAGCTTTTCCGTCTTTTGATTTTAAAAACTTCTCGTTGTGGACCACCTCACTTCGACAGTGTCACTTGAGATGAACGATCTTCGCCCTAGGGGTGGTGGGGGATGCCTGCTCGCTGCATAAGTGTTTATTTCGGTTTGGCTAGGCAGAGGACTGTTCGATTTTCTGCATAATGCAGTGTCTTTCTGTGATCCTCTATACAGAACTGAAAAAACCCCTACTACTTGAGTAGCCACTTCTTACAGAGTTTAGTTTTCGCAGGTGGTCGGAAAAAAAGTCCGTTCAAAGCTGGCATCCCGAAGTAACTGAAGTATCTTGTGATTATGCTGCACGGTAATTAGTATAACAACCCTACTTAAGGAATCTTTTTCTTGTCGAAAACGCATTTTAGAATTTTAGTTTACATTTCATGAGTCGGCGCCTGTATTGCGCAATTCCTTTTGAACACTATTTATGGAAGATGACAGGCGCGCAACATGAGTCCGATTTACATCCAGTCTCTTGAAGGTTAGGTCTTAAAAAGATGTGATTTCAGAAGAAAGTAGTCCGAACAGATGTCTAACCGCACATAAGTATTGGCTTGAAATCGAAGAATATGGTGCGTGGAATTTTGGCTAAAAATCAAATAGAAGATATGGCGTAAGTGAGACTACAAAACTGATTAGCCTGAGACATAATCCCATATTTCCTGAAATGCCAAGTTCCGGCAGGGAATCCTTCAATATTATGGCATAAAACGAATTTATATTTCTTTATTAAAAGCACTCCTTTTGAGAAACCCATGGGTCTTTTAAATTTTGTTTTTATGAGGAGAGCTTTCAGCCGCAAATTAATTCGCGAACTCGCGTATATTTTAAAACACAACTTCACTGTCACTCTTCACTAAGGTCTCGAATTTTTTTCGAAAAAAATCATATACATCCTAGGGCCTATGATAATATGGGTGTACACGGGCAACGATAGTCCACTGAAAGACACACAACATTAAATTCATTATTTTTTTACCGTAATTTAACAGCTCTCTGGAAATGCACTCGATCAAAGAGCTGCGTGTCACGGCATCAGTATTCACCTAGAAAGTCTTTGCTTGAATTAAAATTTAGTGATTGTGTTCTTGGCGAACCAGCTTTGGCGCCAGCTGTACTAAAATACTGCTTAAGTCCTAGTAGGTGTACGAGGTTGTCGTGATGAGCTGTGGAAAGGGTAAGATGTGGTTATGTAGCTCCACCTACTGGACACAATACCGTTGGGATTATGGTTGGGAGTTAGGGTTAGGATTACAGTTAGAGGTTAGGGCAACTATTTCTCAACCACTCATAGTACAACCGCGAATTCCCAATAGCTTTTCTTTTGCATACAACTACTCGACCGCGTCGTCTGTGCGTTCCCCGGCCCCACCTGTAAAAGGCCACTATTACCACCGGCCCCGTACTACAGGTAGCTGGGGTTTGTTTGCTTCAGGTGGGGCTGCATAACCACATCTGACCGAACTGCTTCCCAACCCAACAACCGGACACTGCTCAGCAGCTATCTGCCAGGCAACGGAAACAGTAGTCAAAAGATCTTGAAACAACAGTTGAAGTACTGGTCCCGGTGCCTGCTGCAACACTGCGCTCCTCACAAGTACTTGAATGCGTTGCAGTCTGGTTGTCGGTCAGTCACCGCTATTCCAATTGGCCAATCAACTTCAAGGTCGACTCAAACATGTCCTCGTTCAAAGCGTTCTGAAACCTGCCAGGTTGCCGCTTGTTCTGGAGGCATCGGACTGCGCCCCCTGTCCGCCTGCCGACTTGTTCCAATCTATTCTCCATTCATTTTGTGCAGAATATAATGCTCTCTTTACTGGCAACCCAACTTCTCCTCTACTCTTTCTACCTGTGATTTACGCTGCCTCGGCAGTCGCAGGACTAACAAACAGTGCAAGTGAGGGCACACATCGCTAGATGGGTTATATTATACCTTATCTTGCAAAGAACACATCAGGTCTGATAGAACAACATAGCAAAATAGAAAGCCGACTGATTTCCTGTATAAAATCTTCGTACTTACGTACCGCCACCCCGTGAGTAGTGGCAGGTGATGTGGGAGTTGAGTTCACCAGTCCACTTTTAGTACAAGTAAGTAAATGCCACTCTTCTTTACCTCTGAATTTTCTCGACTTTGCCTGACAGAACATGTGACTGCACCTCAGTGACACAGTTTTTGGTCTAACGCTTAATGACCATGGGCTGTAGATTCAAGGCCTCGGGTTGCTCTAGGCTGCAGGTGGGCTATGACTAACTGAAGTCGTCAAGTAGGTCATGAATGACTATTTTACTCTTCGTCAATAGGGCCGCTCGATGCAGAAGGGATGATGTATGCCTACCTTGGGACAGGTAGGTAGCCCTTCTCGTGGAGTCTCGTGTAGGTATCTTCTCCAACAGCTTGACTGGTGGATCGGTAAGTAACAACCGCCTGGCTAGTTAGGAAGGTAGAGGTCTGCGTCTATGCGGTCAGTTTTTATGATCATGCACGTGGCGAAGAGATCTAGTTATAGCCATCTCTGCTCGAGGATTGGAGGGTTCACCCTTCCCCGTGGCATATTTAGAGGTGAACTAAGAGACCTTGATGCCTAGAACTATACTGTTTAGAAAGCAGACAGGGCTGTCATATGGGTGAGATGCATTAGAGATATGATCACAGTAGGTACGTGTAGAGGATGGAGTTGTTTT